CTGGGATGAAGTGGCTTGGCTCCCACAGCGCACTCAAAGCTTATTGTGCTTCTGAGGGACATGTTAACACATTATGAATTTTAAATGCTAGGGGATTTTATGGGGGCACTGCTTCATGCGGCTGGTATGTGAGCGAATTTACCTCATCAAGAGGCAAGTAAAGTTAGAACTTATTATTTCCTTTTTAAGCTTTAGGAAAATACACCCTAAAGGGACTGACTGGTGCACTATACCTTGTTCATGGGTTTTTTTGTGAACAGAAATGTCTTTACGCTTTGACTTTTTGCAGCTGCTGTTACACAACCCAAACGTTGTGTATGTTGCTTCTGATTTTCTGATTTAACGGCCCATTTGGCGCTTGTCAAATCACCGCTGAACAATAAACTTCTTTTATGACGTGACATGTTGTGGTTTAGCTTTGTTTAGATCGCAAGTTTAGGAAATAGATGCGGTTTGGTGGAAACGTGAGGCTGTCCCGTTAGAAACAACTACGTCAGTCATTTCAAAATGAAATGTGTTTACATTCAAGTGCCAGCAGTTTTAGCCATGCTCACTGTGACCCTCATAAACCTTGGACAAACCTTGGACAAGGTAACAAGATAGCTGTGCTGGTGCGTTCGAACAGATCTGCATCCTTTTCCACATATAGCAACACGGTAAGTTCCTGAATACCAAGCAATGTCACTTATATGTCTGAAACATAGCTACTGGATTGCTGCATTCATTGTCCTCTTTATCCACCATAGGTCTGTTGTGACAACTGCAAGTCTTATTTTAGAGAACTAGCTTTGGGTTCAATGATTTACGTCACAGTGGTTCATTCTGAAATACAGCTGGTTCGCTTACAGCCTGGCTGCACAAAGGCAAATCTACTATTAATAAGCCCTGGTGCCTTTGTGAAAGACAGCCTTGCTCTCCTTCACTTTCTGAGTGAGAAATTTCTACCTTAGCCAAAATCTAATAAAAAAGCTGCTGAAGAGTGGAACTGTGGAGAAAAATGGAGGACCTTATGAAGTTGCACCCAATGCGATTTCACTCATATTAGGGAGGTATGGTTGTGCCAGATGCAGGCTGGCAGACAGATGAGGCTTAAGTAAAAGGTCTGGATCCTGTTTATTTATAATATTCCAGATCCCTACAAGAAGGAGAAGATGTGAAAACACCAGCTTGCTTCCTCGTGTTACATAACCTACTAGACAAAGCAAAGCTCGCTCGAAGAATGGGGTTATGCTTTATTTGTTGATGTCGCTCGTGCTCTGGCTCAGGAGTGTGTGTGTGACAGCAGCTGCCACAGGAGTCCTCTGTTAAAAACAGAGGCATTCCATCCATGAACTGTGTATGCATTGTGTGTGGGGGCCTGTGTATGTGATGATCCGTTTGCCATGTCATCTGGAAGTTGTTTATGCATTTGGCTAGCTCCTTAGCTGAGGTGTGTGTGGTTTCAGAAAAGTCTGCTCTTTCTCTCAGTGCCTATCTCTCTCTCTTTACCCCAAAGTTTCTTCTTCTTCTTCTTCCCAAACGCCTCTCAAAACTTATAAACATCTGTAGCTCCTTAAAATCGGCAGTTTTGTCCGTGACATTAACTAATGGTGGAAACCAACCACATGATTTTAAGGATTTACAAAAGTATAACAGATGATTTGTGTATTTAAAGGAAGATATTTGTGGAACACCGCATTGTTTCCTCGATACTATTAAAAAAACGTTTGTCTGTGTTGAATTTCTCAAGAAAAAAATATCTGGAGGTTGAACTTCTCCACCTGTGCACAGGTACTGAGCCAGAAGCTGAAACTGTAAAGCAGCTGATTACTCCTGCGACAAATAATTTCTTGGCATCTCTTCTTGTGTCTGTACACATGAGTAGAAAAGAAAAGCACTGAAAGATGTGGTTGTGGCTTGCAGCGTGTCACTAATGGGAGTTTGCGCCTTTTCGTTTGATCCTATGTAATCTCTGTGTCAGTCATTAAAGTCAGCTGGCCAGACAGCTCTGTGCTTTATAGCAGACAGTGGTCAGCATCTGGAGAACTACCCCTCCGTCTGACTAACAGCCCTCCAGCTACT